CAACAAACATCTTGAGATTATAATTTTGATTAAATACTTGGAGCAATCGGGCAAGGCAACAAATGCCAGAAATCCTTGCACTCAGAGGCTGAAACAGTAAGCTCACAACTTCAAGTCCAGACTTCACAACATAACAAGACCCTCTGAAAATCAAAATAAGAAAGGCCTAGGGATATAAGTGTGAAAACACCAGGTTCAACCCCTAGTACCAGCCAAAAAATAAAACAAAAAAAAAAAAACCCACCTGAAATCCAACATGTTCACTAGAACATTCTAGTGATTTGTTTTGGCTTACATAGACTAAAAGAAGCCAACTGACCAACCGGGCCCCATCAGTTCATTGTACTGAGGACAAAGTCTACCCATGCATCACTGTAGCAACTTAAAAGACAAAAGAAGGAAAGGAGGGGTGTTCACCAAGAAAAGCAGTTACCTACATAATTTCTAGAAAATTCCAAATCAACAATAGATATTAAGACCCTCAAATCTGTTTTCTCTATGATTCTATTTAGAAATATTTTAAATGGAGGCTCCTATAACTATGACAAGAACTCTGTAAGAAAAAAATATTTAAAGTCAAAATCATTACTGAGGGCCGGGGATTTAGCTCAGCAGTTCAGTGGCCTGCCTTGCAAGCGCAAGGACCCGAGTTCAATCTCTGGTACAAAAAAAAAAATCATTACTGAACTAAAAATAATAAAGCATCAATAATGCTAAAAACTGACTTAGTAAATTAAACTCAGAACAAAAAGGCAAGAGACATGGAAAATATTTATTGTTCTACTATGTTCTATGATAGCAGGTTCCAGAAGTAAGTAGCTAGCTGCTCAGCATACCTATTTCTTCTTCCTCCTGGACACACAGCTTGACTGTATTTCCAAGACTCCTTTGCAGTGTTTGAGCTCTGGCCAGTGTAATACTGGCAGAAGTGATATATGTCCCTTACAAGCTTGGTTCAGAAAAAACTCATGACTTATTCACCTTCTTTGTCTTCTGCTGTACCAAAGGAAAATACAGGCTGAGCAGTAGTCCACAAGTGAGAAAAGTCTTGATCCCTGGCTCATCCCTTAGAGAAAAGCTACCCTACCAGAAATATCCATTTTGGCCTTTATATAAGCAAAAAATAAAACTTTTATTATGAGACTTCGGAGCTTATTACAGTAGGCAGCATTGTTTAAAAAATTCAAAAACTAGTGTTAGCAGTTCAGGGCTACCATAACAATAACAACAACTAAAACTAAAACAAATAGTATCAGTTTGGTGGTCAGGCAACCAGTAGCAAGGATACATATTTAACAAGCTAAAAGGCTAGAGAATGCTACAATGCTATACAGAAAAAACTAGAACCTGTAGTAAGTGAAAAGACATACTAAATGCTTACTGAACCTGTGGCATATAGATCATGAGTAAACAAAGAGTCAAAGTTACATGTACATTAGCATTTATTGTCAGCTTTTAGCAAAGTATTACATAAAAGAGGTGAGCTCAAAATAGAATTTTTAGACCGAAATTACAAGGAATGAAGTCTAGAAACTTTAGGCTCAGAGGGTTAAAAAGCTGAATACATATAGAGCCCAAACAGCAAGAAAAAAGAATATAGGGTTGAACAATAATTTCCCAAGAAAACTTGAGGCTGAACAAAGTGATTCAATCTTGAAGTGGAGATCAAATTCCAATATTGGACTTCTCACTGATTGTTAAATACAGCCTCAACTAAGAAAAAAATCATAAGTCAAGGACTTTGCCCTCCTACTTTTACTACTTCCCTAAACAGGGAAGGAAAAAATTCCATAACCTTTCCTGAAATTTCATTTAGGAAAGAGCATTGGGTATAGTGTCCACACAGAACCCACTAGAAAGTAACAGATTGGGACTATTACGGGACAACTACAATTCAAAAAAAAAAAAAAAACCCACAAATATGGACTAAACTTTCAACTGTTTAGAGGCTTAAAACTGAGACCCCTAAACTTGCAGAAGCAGAAAACAGGCAGTAAAAGATATTAATAGATGTAGAAGTAAATGTAAATGCAGATGTACCTATACATATAGTCATACATGTAGAGAGAAAAATATGGATCTTCTAATATCTATTGCCCGACATCCTCTTCAGAACTGTACTAGATAAAAAAATAAGGAAAAAATTTGTACCTAGAAGCCCAGGAAAACAATGGACATAGTACTTCTTTCTATAAGCAAAGCTTCCCTATTATTGAGGCTCAGAGATGGCCTACTGCTCCCCTAGAAGACTGAATGATTACATGGAATAGAGAATACTATCTGTCTCCTATTCTTTCCTTTTCTAAATGTGAATTGTTTCTAAATTATAATTATTCCATTCTACCTTCCTTACCAGCCCATGAAGAATCTGACAGACAAAGCTGAGAATCCTGGGGACATCAGACTTTGAGATGGATGTACTGACTAGATGGGCCACTGGGCTGTATCCCTTAGGGAAGGAGTGGCTGTAGTCTATGTATAGGATGATAAATAGTTAATGACTACTACAGAGTACCAAAGACTAGCTAATAATCACCAAATTTGTGTCATCCTCATTTTAAGGACAGAGTGGGATTATATACCCCAGCCTTCCTTTTAGATGAGTATGGCCACATAACTGACTTTGACGAATGGAATGTGGATAGAAGGAATAATGCTTTGCATCTGTGCTGTCCCTTAAAAACACTTCCACATACAATACTCATTGATCTTTCCCCTTCTGCTACAATCTTCAAATCCATACTAAAGACAGCAGAGCCACTCAATGGGAGAGATTCTAAGTTCCTAAATCACCACCATGGGTTAAAAAAAAAAAAATTCACAAATTTGAAATGCCATTTGAGGTTTTACGTAAGTGAGAAATAAACTGCTTCCTCACCCTCTTATCTAATATCCATGAATTCAAACAAGCATTTATTAAACTTCTACTAGATACAAAGTATATAGTAATTTCTCTCTCATATCATTCTCACAGAGGAAAATTTTAAAATACATAAGATATTCTTATTCAAGGATCTTTCATATGTGTGTGTGTGTGTGTGTGTGTGCGCATAAGACAATACATTCAAAGAGATCAATTCTTGAGATGGAAAATTTTATAGGAGAAATGAAAACTTAGCATGTTAAAATTCTGAATTCACTTAATATTTCTTTACCATTTCTTTATATTACAAAAGTAAAGCAGGCAGCTAATAATTTACATAGACTGAGTACCACAGGAGATAAATCCATTTCAACCAAACCTGAATTCAATATATGATCTGACCTTGGCAAGTTGTTTGAACTTAACAAAGTCTCTTTCCTGTGGCAGTCATTTTTTCAGATAATTAAGAATGAGACCAGCTAATCTCATATTAAATGACATAGTAAAATTCTTTTAGTTGTTGTCAGATATGTTGGTTTTTCACTGTGTGGTTCAGGCTGTCCTAGAATTCACTATGTAGGGCAGGCTGGCCTTGAACTTGAGACAATTCTCCTTCCTCAGCCTCCCTTGGGCTAGAAATACAGGCATGTGCCACTACACACAGCAGAAGTAATAACATTCTTTTTTTTGTTTTTGTTTTTTGTTTTCCAGTACTGGGGATTGAACTCAGGACCTTGCGCAGAGCCCATTGAGCTACATCCCGGCCTTGGAATTCTTAATGAATTCCTCTTTAATCAAAAAAGAAGTTAAAAAATAATGGAAACAAAGTCTTTGTAGATAGGGAGAGAGGGAGGGGTTGAAGGGAGGGCAGAGGAATGGGGGAAAAAATAAGAACCAAGGTTGATTATGTAAAGGTACAAATTTCCAACAATGAGTGCCATTATATTGTACACATTAAATGTACCAATAAAATTAATTTTAAAAAGAAATAAATTTGTCAGGCAAGAGCCTACGTAACCCTAAAAAGTAGCATCCACAGAGATTTTGTACTAGGCTTTACTATTTCAAAAATTTATCAAAAAATTAGTCAAACATGGTAAAGACTTGTCTTATTCTATAACTTTACCCAACAATGCAAAGGTATATTTTCAGTAATTGATTTTGTTTCATTCCCACTATTAAAAAAATGACAGGGTTATTTCTACCAAATTTTTCCTCAAAATAATTTTTAACTTTATACTTTGTAAAGTACAACAAAATTTAGAGAGGGGTGTGGAATGTCTGCATTGCCTTAGCAAAAAGGTAACTGGCAAACCTCTTTCACAGAATCAAATAGACATCCAAACTATGATTACCAAAGCTAACTGAGACCCTAAAGTATGGTTCCAAATAAAATATCTTCCCTTATGCTCCACACAAATGATAAGAACTTCAAATAACCTACTCAAGAACATTGGTGTTTATGAAACCAAAAAACAGTTTCCATAAACAACTGGGTGCTCTATTTATTGTTGTAAGCTACATCATCAGGTAATACTGAGAAGTTTAACTATCAAGTTTAAATGGTAAATACTGAGAAGTTTAAATCAAAGTGACTTAAATTTCAAAAGAGCAAGAACTACTGAAAATCATTACTGTACTTTTATTCATAATGACAAAAAACCTTTCTGTGATTATAATTCACAGCATTTCTCAATAGAATTTTTTCTCATTGATTTCTGTTAATATCAGAAAAATGCATGTGTAACATTACATCTTGCTTACATAGCAAATAATCAGCCAAAGGTACCTAAGTTGGGTTATTAACTAGAAGAGCTTTAAAATACTTTGGACTTCAAATCATATCCAAAGTGAAGGGAAGTATTTTTTTTAAAGCAACAAATTTAAATTCTTTCAAATCCTCACTATAAACATCATAACTGATTAGTTGCTTGGACATCCAATTTACTGGACATCCACAGAATCAATAGTTAACTGCTCTGTTAAGATAATAAAAAACATTTTTAATTATATGTTTCCACAAAAATAAAGGACTTCCTTAAAATGATAAACAATCAAGACACTTGCCAAAAGAAATCCATGTTCAACTGAATATATGAAAAGCCACTGTCCAACCTATTTTAAACCCAAGACCTACTTGCTTCATGGCAGTCTCTCCAATTTTGTCTGAATGCTTGCGGATGCTCTCCAGAAAATCTTTGAGATCAGACATAGAAACATCCTTTATTTCTTCTCGAAGCTTGGGGATGTTGTCCACCATCACCTTGCAGAATCGATAGTGGCTTACTTGAGGCAGATAGGTATGCTCTAGATGTTCCAGAGTTTTCAGTGCAGGATAATGCCTACAAAAGGAATTGATTACCTTTAGCTGAACTGAGTCTGCTATGGTCAGATATACTCCTCAGGAAAAACTTCTAGCTGAATTAGTTTTCACTGTGCATTAAGATAAATTCAGTATTAAGTTTTAAAGAAACCATCAATGAGCTAAATCTCAAATTATTTTTCATTTTTATTACTATATATTTGCATTACATAATGCTTACACTGCTTTTGGGGAGCTGATACATCAAACATAATACATCTCGTTCTTTTTTCATTCCATTTTCCTCCTCTCCCTTCCCAATCCTTCCATCTGTTCCCCTTCCCATTTGAAATGATCAAATTATCACAAATTAACATATGCTTTAAAATACTAGCAAAGTATAATCAAACAGATTTTATCTAAAGAAAGCATAAAACTTAAAATAGATATCAGCTAAGGAATAAAAGAATTTTTAAAAAGATCATCTCAATGACAAAAATATTCACCCTATACAATGAAGTACCCTGGTACAGACTTGGAAGCACCTATCAAATCTTCTACCCAGTGATTCATTCAAATTCATGACAAAACTAACCAAGACAACCATTTCAGGGGTCTAGAAATTGACCGACCAAAGGACAACAAATCAAGAAATATTTATTCATGAAAATCGCTCGATGGTAGGCCTCTGCAGTATTCTTGCCTGGGCCTACTTCCAGTAACACCCCCCCACACACACACACACACCCGCATGTGCACAAACACACACACACATCAAAGCCCTTGCCTCTGGTCACAGTTCATGGCTAGTCATGAAAACGAACAGCTTCACTGGCATTAGGGAAAAACATAATTTGGAGCAGAGGGTGAAAAACTCATAATGAGTGGCATTATTAGTAAAATTGATGAGCACAGTAAAAAAACAAAAATACAAAAGTGAATCATAGGAAAAGCCTCCAGCTCTACTGGCCTAAAGTCTACTGACTGTGACAAATGGCAGACTAGAGGACTAACCAGAAATTGAACAGGAAGGTCATAGAAGTAAATACCTATGATAAATTTGATATACTTTCTGCCTGTGCCTAGCTGACTTAGAAAATTTCACACAATCAAGGAACACTTAGAAGGACCTAAGCACTCCACTCAGCCTTGGCTGACCAGGATGCTACAGGAACACACAGGAGACCTAAGAATGCCTGGCAGAAGGTAAAACTTCAGGAAGACTTGGAAACTGCCTGAATTTCTAATGTACTCACTAATCCACATACAAATCAACTGGCAAAGAGTAGAAACCTTACTAAGTTTCGTTAGTTGATGATTTTCCTTTAAAAAATGAAAATGAGCTTCCAGGAATAGTGGTGTACACTTGTAATCCTAGCACTTGGGAGGCTGAGTCAGGAGGATCACGAATTCTAAGCCCAGCCCGGAGTGAGTTCAAGGCCAGCCTGCTGGACTTCTTAGTGAGACTCTATGAAGAAAGAAAATAAAAGGAATAAAGGAGGAAAGAAGGAAATGACAAAATTTCTTGCCAGCCAACCTATCTTACAAGATACTCTAAAGGAAGCCTGAAAGAAATGACAGCAGATGGTGATTTGAATACACACACACACACACACACACATACACACATACTGAAAAGCATACAATATAATAAATGTCCTAAATAAGAAAGAGTAAATAAGCATTCTTCTCTTAATTTCTTTAAAGAATAAGATTTTTTAAAGCAATGATTCTAATACTGTAATTCAGGTTTATAAAATACATGGATACATCAAGAAATTAAATAATAACTAACACTGGCGAGGCTGAGGGGAAAAGGAAACCTACATTGTTGGTGGGAATGTCAACTAGTTACAAACACTACGGAAATTTCTCAAAAAACTAAAATTAGAAATTCCATTCAGCCCAGATATTTCCCTTCTCAGTATCTTCCAGAAAGAGTTAAAGATATCATATTATCAAGATATATGCATACCAATGTTTACATCAGCACAACTTATAATACGTAAATCTTGGGAGCAGCCTATTAACAGAAGAATCTGTAAAGAAAATGTGGTACTGATACACAATGGAATACTACTCTGCCATTAAGAAAAATAAAATGGAGTCATTTATAGGAAAGGGGATGCAATGTAAGACTATAATATATCATGTGAAATATATCAGGCACACAAATTTAAATATCACATACCTGTCTTACATGAGAAACTTTAAGTATAACTTAAAAAGCAAAATAAAAATAAAAGACAATAGGAAATAGGGAGATAGAACTTTTGCAAATGGAAAGGGAATCTAGAAATGGAGGGAGGAATCGGGAGGGAAAAGGAAATAAGATAAATCAAGACATGTTATATACATGTACTAACTCCTTCACAGTGAACGTAATCATCATGGACTGCAAACATACACTAATTTTTCTTAAAAAATGACGTCTACACTTGCTAAATGTCTCTTTTTAAAAAGAAAATATATTTTTAAGAAACTCATTCAGCTCAATGGTATTTGGAATTTTCAAGATACAAAAGGGAGATGGAAGAGGAAAAGAAGTAGAAACAAAACCCACAGAAAAACAAAAAAGGACCTATATATAGAAGGGTATGCAAAAAAAAAAAAAAAACTATCACTCTGCCAAAGATTTCTTAAAATATGTGTTTTATTGTCAGTATTTTCAGTAAATGATAATTCACAGTCTGCTGGTAAACAAATTTTCAATAGAAAATATTAGTGAAAACCACTATTCTAAGCATGATATATCTATGTATTAAAATAACAATAAAATAGCAAACTGTTTGTGACATCACTGAATAAAAATTACCTCAAAAAACAGACTTACTGGTTCTCAGCCTTTCATCTAAGATAGAGCTCAATATTTGTTGTTTTCAGTTTCATATGTGATGCATCCTCTATCTAAGAACAATACATCAAATGGATTTCAGGAGTAAGGAGACGAAATGGGAGCTTGCCCCATCCATTCTATGCATCAACTTGGTACTCTAGTATTTCTAGGGATGGCACAAAAATTTAAAAAATTCTCTATCTTTCAAGTATAATCATATAATTTTAAATTATAAATATACATGCATAAATTATAAATATACAATCACTGAGAACACCTAGGTACAGAGAAACAACTATAAAAACCTATGCAAAAGTGTTGGCCATGACTATTTCTCTAAATGACAATATTATAAGTGATGGCTTTTTTTGTGTTTTAGTGTCCTAATTTCCACATTTCCCATGAAATATTTAGTACAAGAAAGCCCTAATTCCATCCCTATAAATAAAAATGATTTATAGCTCTAGCTCAAACTGAAGGAATGATTTTCACAGCAGATACTTCAGCTCCTTTAGCTCCAATGCACTTAGTATCACAAACACTGAAGCCTAAAGACTTTTTTTTCTTTTTATGGTTTCTCTCATGTATTCCAAGAGCAAAATCTTGGTCCAAATAAATGAAGAGAAGAAAGGTTTAGTCCTTCTAAACTCAGAAATACAAGTACAAATATAGTTAAATCTGAAATAGTTTTTATTAAAATTTTACAGACTCAGAAACAGTACAATTCACATGGTTTAGTATAAACAGAATGGTGTTTATACTTCAATTAGGTATGAAGAGTTATGTGTAATAAAATGCAATTCCTCTAGAGAGAAACTTTAGAATGGATAGAAAGCCAGAAATTAAGCCAAAAAGATAAACATACTTTGGGGTTTAGTTGTATTTTGGAACATTGTTTATAGAATGAGAAAATCTAACAATGTTGCCTGCAGACATAGGCACATTCACTGATGAGACACATGGCTCATGCTGAAAACATCTGGTCTGTCAAATAGCTCCACATTTTTTTAAAGCTAATTAGTACAAAACTCAATGATTCCTGACAACAAAGAATGTTACCTTTTTTCCCCCCACTATCCTTTCCCTAGCATATTCCAACCATAGTAAACCAGTAAGATTATTCAAATGTAATGTATTTCAATATCAATGACAGATAAACAATGATAGCAAGTTAAGCATCTATACACAGGTACCCCCAAAAAAATTATTTTCAGGGGCCATGGAATTCCCAACAATATTTTGATATTACTTTTGAAAACCTCCAAACCTTATTAAAACTGAATCAAAAGCCAAATTCCTAAGTTTCATTTCCATGTGTGTTCACTCTCCCCTCTTCCCTTTTGCAGGACCCCTAAAGAGGCAAAAGCAGAAATACAATAAAAGATATATAAAACAGGGAAAAAAGGAAGAAGGCAGAAGAAAAGCTGAATATTACCTAAGACTAACTAAGGTCCAAATAACTGAGACACTGTTGACTGCTATCATGAGAAGAGGAATGTCAATTCCAAGCAAATAAAATTTCAGTAATTTTTTGCCATGGCATGGAACTCTTCATAATGATGGCTTTTAAATTTTTAGTAAGTGGCCCTTGAAAATGACTCACAAGTACCTATAAGAATTTTTTTGAAATTCAAGGTATGATAAAATATGAAGTAAAAGCTGTTATACAAGAAAATATTAGTTCCTTTCATAATCAAAAAGCATCAGTAACAACTACTTAATCCCTTCTATGTGCTAGAGATGGAGGGTGAGGTATCTTTTCTTTGGGAGCACAAAACAACCCAGTGGTACAATCAGTATTTGTAGTTAAAAAAAATAATAATAATAAGATTCTAGCCTTGAAGGCATAACAAGGAACAGACATGAACTCCCACTTTATAAACAAGCATAGTACTGACTGACTAAAATATCTAAAACAACTGTTCTCCGTCACTGGACATCAGGCAGCACAGAACTGTAATCTCTGAAAGAAAAGAAATAAACAAGGCAAATTTAATAATCACTTTGGTTATCTACCTGAAGGCGATTTCTAGATAATGGACACAGAAAAAATCCAAACATGACCCAGCAGATTCACTGACTTTGAGAAGAGCCAAATAATATTTCAGGAAGACCTAGGTAGCTTGAAAGGAATAACACCCTCCTAGAAAAAAATTACAAAATTCTACAAAAGGTTTCCCTTGAGTCTTTGTTGAGTACTATATCAGGCTTTTAGAAAGTGAAATTTTACATGGATAGGCAGAAAGAAGGAAGAAAGGAAGAAATAGAGGAGAAAAGGAGAATCTAAGAGGAGATGTAAGATGGATATTACAAGGAGCTCAAAGCAGAGAAACATCCTAACTCTAAACAGCCAAAGTGAAGAGTTTTTGCAGCTTGCTGACTTATACAGAGATCAAGTTTTATTTAGTAAAGCTGACTGCCCCTAGAATGAAGGTGGGCCTAGCAGAGCTTTAAAATGGGGAGGCAAAGGGATCAAGCAATTTACAACTTAATTATTTGACAAAATAAAGCCCAACATCTCTAAGAAAAAAAAGCTCCCCTCAAAATCCAGAAACTTATCAACATAATACCATAACCTCTACTATCCACTCAAATATTAACAAACATAAGAATTTTAAAATGGATCTATAACCAGAAAAAAGCCAAAAGTGGAAGAACTAACAAGGTATATGAAAACAGCTATTAGAATTATGTATATATTTATGTGTCTATGTGTATACATATAGACACAAAAAATAATGACAGAAATAAATTTTTTTTTAATTTAACTTCTCAGCCTGAAAACTATCATTTGAAATGGAAATATCTCTGGATAGTTATGAAATATCAAACAATACAAAAAAGGAGAGATCAATACACTTGTACATAGCAATAAATAAAACAGATTAAGACAGGCTGGGGGAAAAAAATAGGTCTTCAAGTCATCTATGGGACTATATTAATCTGTCCAATAATTGAAGTCCCAGAAAGGTGATGGAAAAAGATAGAAAAATATACTAGAAAAACAATCTGAATATTTTCCAGATTGTATGAAAATTACAAATCTACAGACTCATGAAGCTAAACAAACCACAAGCAGGAGAAATATATACATGAAAACATACACACACACACATTCTTTCACTTATACCAAAGTACAGCAAAATCAAATTGTTGAAAATAAATCACAAAGGCAAAGGCTTTAAAACTTCTGGGAAAAGAGTACATTATGTACAGAGACAAAGGTAAGGCAGTTCATACACATCACCTCAGAAACTACATAAACCAGAATACAAGAAAATGATTTCTTATGAACTAATGAAACTAAAACCTACAAATCTATACACATCAAAAATATTTTTCAAAGCCGGGAGTGGTAGCACACACCTATAATCCCAGCACTCGGGAGGCTGAGGCAGGAGGATCGCTGAGAGTTCAAGACCAGCTTGGGCTGCATAGTGAGCTCCAGGTCAGTCTCAACTACATTTTCAAAATGAAGATGTACCAGATAACATTTCCTGCCCACAGGGATGGAATACAAACAATAATAAGTATTGACTAAGGTATTCAGAAATTAGAACCTTCATATGCTTACTGCTAGGAAAATAAAAAGATGTAGCTGCTCTGTAAAACAGTCTGGTAGTTCTGAAAAAGGGTGAAAGAATTACTATATGGCCTAGCAATTCCGCTCCTAGGTATATTCCCCAGAGAACTGAAAGAACATGCACAAAGACTCGCAAATAAATATTTTAGCAATATTATGCATAAGAGCTAAAAAGTGAAAATACCTCATGCAGAAGAAAAGACAAACAAAATGAAGTATGTTCATACAATGGAAGAGCATTCATTAAAAAAAAGAGTGAAGTAGTGGTACATGGTGGAGTGTTGAAAACACTATGCTAAGTGGAAGAAGTCAGACATAAGGCCACATACTGCATAATTTTACTCACACGAGATATTCAGAACCAACAAATCTACAGAGACAGAAAGTAGCTAAGTGGTTGCCCAGACTCAGGGGAAAGAGGAATGAGTGCACAGTTTCTTTGGGGGTGATTGAAATGTTCTAGAACACAGGTCGGATTTATGGTGGCAGAACCTTGTAAATATTCTAAAAGCCACTCAATTGTACACTTTAAAATTATTAATGTTATGGTATGTGAATAATAATTTTTAAAGTGTAGATGAAATGCTGCCTCAAAACAATTTTATTTCTCAGAGAATTCAAAGCCAGACAACTGATCCAACACAAAATACTAAAGGATATTCTTCAAGCAGAAAGGATAAGTAGTAATACCAGAAGAAAACTACCAAAAGGGCTAAAAGTACTTAAATAAGTAAGTAAATATAAAATTTGTTTATTTTATTTTAAAGGTAAAAGATATTTTATAGCAGAAATGCAAATTATTATAGTCACTACATACCACACTTTGAAATAAGATCGATGACAATAATAATACAAAAGAAGGAATGGTAAAATGCAAGTTTTAATTTATACAATAACTATATATACTTCTAGGATATAACATGACAACCAATAAATGTATACATATAATGGTCAGATCAAACTAATTACCATTTCTACTTAAATAAAAGTATAGTGCCGTACGACTCTTACATTATATGATTTGATATAATATTATTTAAAGATCTACAGTAAGTTAAAGATATCCAGTGTAACATTAAAAAATAAAACAAAGAGATATAGTTTATATGGCATTAGTGAAGATAAGATGGAATCCTAAAATAGTCAACTGAATGAGAAAAAGGCAGTAATGGAGAGAAGGAACAAAAGACAGGATAAATGAAAAATAAATTAGAAGATATATTTAAACCTATATACTGATAATTGCATTAAGTATAAAAGATTCAAACAATAAAAAAGCAGAGACTGTTACATGAGACCAATTTTTTAAATCAAGGTCATAAAATAACAGGCTTATAATCTTCAAAAGTGACAAGGTCATAAAAGTTAAGGAGCTACTGAAGAGAATTACAGACTCAGAAAGACTAAAGAAACATGACAACCAAATGCATCATGTGATTTGAACTAGATTCTTTAGCTGTAAGGAACACAATTAAGATAACTGGCAAAACGGATTGATAAGAGGATTAGATGCTAGTTGTATAACAGTGTTAATTTCCATTCTCTATTACAATGTTGTTGCAAAGGAAAATATCTCTATTTATAGGAAACCCGACTAAAGTATATTATTAGGTATGACAGTGTATCATGTTAGCATCTTATTTTCAACTGGTTCAGAAAAAAATGCTGAATTTGTGAATTCTTAAAACTAATTTTTAATTAACAAAATAAATAGTTTTGACTATCAAAACTGCTATACAACAAAAATACTAACTCTACAAAGTTAAAAAAAATATGCTATAAATAGGAAGACTGGGGGCTGGGGATGTAGCTCAGTGGTTCTGCCACCTGCCTCACAAGTGCAAGGACCTGAGTTCAATCCCTGGTACCAGAAAAAAAAAAAAAATAGGAAGACTGTATTTATGGCATATTGACAGAAAAAAGCATCCAAAATATGAATTCCTATGAATAAAAACAATAATAATATGAGAAAAATGTACAAAATATATCAAATAAAACTTCAGTATCCAAAAACATTTTTATTATAGTACTATAATCAAATAAATAAAAAACTGTATCAGTGATCTATCATTTTATAATCATCACACTTGCAAAAACTAAAAAAATTGGCAATAAAGATATTACCAAGAGGTGAAATAACAGGAACTCACATAAAATGCTAGTAGTATTGTACATGGGTAAATCACTTTGGAAAACACCCTTTTTTTGATCAAACTGGTTATCTTCTAGATATGAACCCTGTACCAGTAAAATCCACATGGCCTGTGGCTTGTAAAAAATGCATAACCTCAGGAGCAACACCAGATCTTCTCGGCTAAAATTTATATTCAACAAACCCCACATGATCCATACACCACACAGCAGCATTTGAAGAACACAATCAAGATGAGTCCAAAGAGACATGAACAAAGATTTTTTTTCAAAAAATATTTACCACTGTCTGCACAGCAAACAACTAGAATCATACCAAATGTCCCTCCTAGTACCATTTGAGATATTTACCCTATAGTACTATCAACCCCCAAAGTCTCAGTGATCCTAAAATAATAGTTTAAAACTTATTAAGTTGGCAGAGAAGCTCTGCTCATTAAAGGTACTCAAGGACTCAGCTATCTTAAACACTGCCATTTATCATAACCAAGGGAAAATAGAGAGTTCTGAAAGGACCTGCATTGGAAATAAAATGCTAAGCCCAAAAGTGACACACATTACTTCTACTCACATCTTAACAGTCAAAAACAGTAACAGAGCCCAACCTATACAAAGGGTGTCCAAGACATATAATTCTACTTGGTGCCAGAAAAATATATGTGTGTGAACATATATATAATCCTTTAAAAAGCACTATCAAATATGAGCCTTAAAAGTATTCTAGGGCTGAGGATGAGGTTCAGTGGTAAAGTAGTTGCCTAGTATGCACCAGGCCCTAGTTTAATCCCCAGTATTCTACTCTTACATCCAAAACAAGTAATCTAAAAACAAATTTAGACTACTAAAAGCAAATTTAGATAAAAAATTCTTACCTTTTAGTTTTCATTTGGTCCCTCAATTTGCTATACATCTCTAGGACTTGAAAGAGACAAAAAAAAAAAAAAAAAAAAAAAAAAAAAAAAAAAAAAAAAAAAAAAAAAAAAAAACACAAAAACATTATTTAGAGAAAGTAAAGAAAGAATTAAAGCTAACAGAACTGCATTAAGAATCCTACTCCATTTCCAGTTCCTTACCTGGAAGACACAGCATTAATTTATCAACAGTGGCAGAAATATTTCTTTGTTGTAAACGACACTGCTTCAGTTCTTCCATTGCTATCACCAGCTTAGTAAGAGGGGGGAAAAAAACTGAATTATGCCAATAGCTGTAAATAAAAAGCTTTTAGTCATTTTTCCACACTGTGTTCAATTCATCAGAAAATCCCAGACAGTTTCATAGTAAGTACTGCCAAGTGGACTAAGGAACTGCCTTTCCCAACCAGTAAAACATTCCTGCACAATTTCCCACTTTCTCCCCAAGATACAGAGTGCACTAGAATGGACTACATAAAATGCAATCCTAAAATATAGGGGCTATCCAGAAGAAAAGAAAATATTTTACATATTTTCTCCAAACACTATTCACTCTTCATGATTTATGGTTTCATCAATCTTCTGAAAAAATTCTACATTTTGTACCAGTACTAAACAGAAAGAAAACTGTCCTTCCTATACAGCTTCAAATGAGTGTGAAAATGATCTTCAATTAAGTTGCTATTTCAACAAATAACCACACACCTAGATGTGGCTTCTCTATGAGATCCAGTTTAGTGAAGAGTAATCAATCCACTTTTCTTCTCATAGTTCCTAAAGGCCTCTACCTGAAGTCATCCTACAATATACTAGTAAAAAATGTGCTCTGAATAATTAGAATATAAGACAAAAAAAATTTAGTTATCCACTTGAAGCACTGATCCTATACTCATGCCTAAAAATGTTATTTCCTTAGATATCATGCAAAAAAAAAATGAAAGAGAATGCCTCTAATTATTTCACTGATCAAACAATCAAAAGCAAACCTTAAAGATTATTAAAATTAAACATTAAGTATTATAGGATAAAGCAAGTGTATGATACAAAAACCAGTAACGGACTATGAGTCAAAAAACTTGGGTTTTAATCCCAGTCTTACCAATTATTTTATAAACTCACCAAATCATCTGTTCTAATTTCATCATCAATAAAACAGAGATAATAACTGCTCTGACATCATCATTAGTCTGCCATAAGGATTGAGTAAATAAAATAATATTGTTAACTGTAAAGGTTTAAACAGTGAGTATATCCATTAATAGAATGATTCTTTTTATCCCCCCAGAAAGTGGGAATTGAACCCCATTCCTCATGCAAGCCAGTCAAGCATTTCACCGCTGAGCTATATCCCCAGTCATGATTCACTTTATAAACAAATGTTTATTGAGTCCCAGTTTGTGCCAGTTGCTATTTAAGCAGATGGAAAGGATACAGAAATGAACAGAACAAACAAAACTTTCTAACCACAAAGACCAAATTTCTAATGGCAAGAGACAGACTAAAAACAAATATATAAGTAAAAATATATATCAAAAGTATGATAGTACAATGGAGAAAAATAAACTGGGAAGAGGTAAAAAGAATGGGGCAATAAGGATAAGGCTACAACTATAAATAAGGTTTAGGACAGATCTCACTGAAAAGTTAACATTTGGGCTGGGGATGTAGCTCAGCAGCACAGTGCCTGCCTGGCAAGTGTAAGGCCCTGGGTTCAATTCCCAGTACCAAAAAAGAAAAGTTAACATTTGAAGAAATAAGTAAATGAACATTAGGAAATGAACATTTCCAGGTAAAGAACAGCATTGGCCATATTTTCAATCAATGATTTAAAAACATAGCTAATGACTATATGTCCTTTCATTAAACTCACTAATGACTATATTCATTTATGTGATATAAACTTTAGGAGAAGCAACAATAATACCCAAGTACTTCTAATATACTGCTTACGGTCATTTTTTATTTTAACGTAATACATGTAGATATTAATAAAGAAAATATAAAAAACCATTGTTTCACTTCTATGAAAAAATAAAGCAACATCTAGAATAAAGAACTCCAAAAAATTAAGACCTCCCCCAAATAAAGGACCCAATCCCACCACCCCCAAAAAATGAGCAACCAAAATGAAAAGACAGTTCTCAGAAAAAGAAATACAGATGGCCAATAAATACATGAAACAATGTTCAACATCACTGGCCATAAAAGAAATGCAAATTAAAACTACACTGAGATATCACTTTACCCCAGAAAGAATGGCTATCATCAAAAAATCTAATAACAATCATGGTGAGGATGTGGGGGGAAAAAAAGAACTCTTCTACAGTACATTGTTGGTAGGAATGTAAACTAATACAACTGCTATGGAAATCAGTGTGGAGAATGCTTATATAATCTTGTAAGCCCCTAAATGAAGACAGTCATCAACAGACAATGGCATGAAACACAAAATATTTTTTCAAAAGATAAACTGGCCTTACTTCCTTTCCCTCTTGTTGTAGTTTTCTATTAGTATCCGTCACTTGATTCTGTGGAAAGAAGATAGTTTAAACTCATAAAAACATTTAAACAATAGTTGGATAAAGATCAAAAATTAATATGAAAAGGTAGCTAGCAACTTTTAGCATTCCACCACATGTTGGTTCAGTGACATTCTCTTGAATTTAAATCTTATCCACTTTTCTACTGGACATTTGCATGATTTTTTGGACAGTGAAAAGCAACATTACTGAAAGATATGTTTACCTTGAAACATTCCAAACTAAGATGCTACCACAACTAAAGATCGCTCCAACTTTGGAGAAAGAAATAAAATAGAAAAATAACCTACAAAGGACCTTACCATCTCTACAATATCTAGAAAGAACAAATTATGTTACAGACATTTCTCACTTCACCAATGTATTCTTGAAAAGGATAGGCATAAATTTTCAACTTTTTAACTCAAAGCAAAATTTTAGTATTTTTTATCATTCTAATTTTAGAAGACATTTTATCTGAATTCCCCTAATACTTCTATATTCTCACTACTCTCTCCATCTGATCATAAAAAATATGTGAATTAGCCTTAAAATGATCTATAACTCATAATTTAAAGGAATAGGCACACAACTTTACTAGTATCTACTTTTTTGGTAATGGGGCTTCAACCTATGGCCTCTGCACAGAGCTACATCTCCAGCCATTTTATGGTTGTTTTGGATTGGTTTTTGGTGGTGGTGATGGTGGTGTTATGAGACAGGGCCTCACTAAGCAGTAGTAGTAGTAGTAGTAGTAGTAGTAGTAGTAGTAGTTGTTGTTGTTGTTGTTATGAGACAGGGTCTCACTGAGTTGCCCAAACTGGGCTCAAATTTGTGATCCTATTGCCTCAGCCTCCTGAGTAGAATATACTTTTGATGCCTCTACTGATGTTAAAAAAATAATAAGTATATAAAATAGTAATTTCTTCATCATCTCAGATATTATAAAAATGTGAACATTAATTTCTAAAACTTTCTTTAGTAGAAGCTATCTAGCCTTTCACCAATGACTACTGTTCATTATATTTAGACTACATTCCCCTAACCCAGTATTTCCTATGATGTCTCTTAGAAGACAGAAAAATGTTAATGTTATCAATATACTGTACCCACCCATACATGCACGCATGTGCGTACACGCACATACTATAAATACCTGAGAAAGACAGGTCATATGAAATGTTTTCTAAGCTTACTTAATATAACACCCTTTTATTCAAAATCATCTGAAGAAACTAGTTTTCCAGGAAATCAATTTCTTGAAATCTTTTCTGCAAACTATGCACAATAACTAAAATATATTTTCAGAGCAGATTACCACATGTACCTCTGCTTTCAAAGACAAAATGAAATCTGACTCTTCCAGAAAACCTTTAGAAACTATTAGAAAAAAGAGGCCAGAAACACTCAAATTAACTCTTTATTACTTAATAGCACCACATGTGAAACACTTTGTTGTTTTATTGGACTATGAGCTCAGTATGAATTAAGAGTTTGAGGTAGCTGTCCAAAATGCCGATACAAAGCATTAATAGAAGCATTGTCTCCAATAGGGAGGGATCCATAAACTGTTTGTATAAAGAGTTAGATAGTAAGTATTCTAGGCTTTTCGGGCCTCATAGCCTCTGTTATAACTATTCAACTCTGCTGCTGTAGAGTTAAAAATGCAAATGAGTGGGCATAGCTGTGTTCTAATAAAACTTTTCTTACAAACACAGAAGATAAGGTGGATTTGGCCTACAAGACAGAATCTACTGATACCTGATCTATAATAAGTACAGTAGTAAGTGGTAAGACCACACTATGAGAATTACATTTACATATCACGTTTTACAAGGCCACTGACAAGCTAAAGCTCAAAGATGTCAATAAGTTTGGGGAGGAAGCCAAAGCTCCTACACATGAAAAACAGATGAAGGAATTTTTAGCACAAAGAGGGGGAAAACACTTATTCAAAGACAGTATATTTAAACCATACATATATACTACACACCATTCCTGAATAACCTTGAAGAGGTTCAAATACCTTGAAGAGCTAGCAAACAAAAAGTGGAATGATGGTGTTTCTCAGGAGTTGTTCAACAGTAAACTACATTTTTATTTTAATCCTATACTGAAGATAATCTTCTAAACTTCAATCCTCTGTAAATACTACTAGAGTCAGTATAATTGTTCCTATTAAAGTGGCCTTCTTTATTCTACAAAGACACGATTTCTCATATTTTTTAACTCAGAAACTCATAGTAAAAAATATATTTTACATTGTAATTCAGTACACACATATGTACAATTTTCAAGAACAATTTTTGTTCTTACTACATGTAATACATGGTACTTCCTATTCAACTGTGTTTAATTTCAGTGTTTGTTAAAAGTCCACTAAATTAAAGTCCACTAAATTGATTTCATGTAAACTATTGTCTAAAATATATCCATAGGAGGTAAGCACTGTGGTATATGCCTGTAACCACAGCACATGGGAGACTGAAGCAGGAGGATTGCCGTGAGTTCAAGGCCTATCTGAACTATACAGCTGGACCCTGTCTCAAAAAAAATTAAATAAAATATATCCATAGGAGCCTAATCAATGTTTCTGGTAAGAAAGAAAATAATTATTTAAATACTATTCAAAAACTATTTCAGGGCCAGGGATTTAGCTCAGCAGTTCCACCATCTGCCTTGCAAGCTCAAGGACCCGAGTTCAATCTCCGGTACCAAAAAAGAAAAAACTATTTCAATTCATGACAATGGAAAGAAATTATACTGACAATAGTCTGGGGATGGTACTTCTTTTGATTTAGAAAATATAAAAATAGTATGTATGTAAATATATATAATGTATGCATGCTGTAAATCAAAAGAGATAATGGACATCCTAAAGAACATAATTTCTTTTCACTATGATGTTAAAATAGTATTAAATATAGATAATAACCTTTTCCATTCCCTACACTATTTTAGAAACTATTTCCTGTAGCTCAGGAAACTACATTTTTTTGGTTCTTAATCTAGATCAAATGGTTCTCCCTAGAGCACAGTCTATCAGGTGTAAAGCTAGACATTAATTCTCAGCCTCGGAACAACTGGGTAGTCTGAAGCAGCAAGAATCCTGAACTGGTAGCATCAGCTCACTTGTTCTTTCACAGACATCCTGACCAATGTGAAGGAATTTGCAACTTAAAGCATTCTGAAGGGGAAAGAATAAGAAGAAAAGTGGATGAGTACCAATCAGCAAGTGGTATCATCAACTCATGGGCATCATGGGCAACACTGAGTACTACATGGCCAAGGAGTATTTCAACAATTGGCCACTTCAATATCCTGCAGATTGTCATGGACTAAGGTCCTAAGAAACTGTGGGAGAAGTCTGGGATACAAGAATCCAAAAGGCATAGAAAAGAACAGCCCAAGATGAGGATGAAAAGCTGAGATAGCTAGGTAAGGACAAACAGTATATTAACAACAAATTAAAAGATTTATTCCCTCTAAATGGAAGAGAAATACAAAGAGAAGTACGAAAGAAAAATGTAATAGTATTAGTAATATTCTATTTCTTAAAATGGATGGATACTGTTGCATAGATATATATAAACTTTTTTATTTGTTTTTGGTTTTTTGGGGAGTGGGGGTTTGAGACAGGGTCTCACTATGTAGTTGAGATTGAACTGGAACTCACTATGTAGTCGGCTGGTCTCTAGGAGTATTTCAACAATTGGCCACTTCAATATCCTGCAGATTGTCATGGACTAAGGTCCTAAGAAACTGTGGGAGAAGTCTGGGATACAAGAATCCAAAAGGCATAGAAAAGAACAGCCCAAGATGAGGATGAAAAGCTGAGATAGCTAGGTAAGGACAAACAGTATATTAACAACAAATTAAAAGATTTATTCCCTCTAAATGGAAGAGAAATACAAAGAGAAGTACGAAAGAAAAATGTAATAGTATTAGTAATATTCTATTTCTTAAAATGGATGGATACTGTTGCATAGATATATATAAACTTTTTTATTTGTTTTTGGTTTTTTGGGGAGTGGGGGTTTGAGACAGGGTCTCACTATGTAGTTGAGATTGAACTGGAACTCACTATGTAGTCCAGGCTGGTCTCGAACTCACAGCGATCCTCCTGCCTCAGCCTCCTGAGTGCTGGGATTATAGGCGTGCGCCACCACACTAGGCTTATAAACTTCTTTTTAAAACCTTAAGACACAATGTGTTTTAGACTTCAGAATTTTGGAAATTTTATAAATATAATATAAGGTACATTATATATAGTATATAGCATCCCCAGCACCTTATAATCAAATATTAAAATTTCTAACTAGCAACACTGCATCTGCCTTGCAAGAGTAAGGTCCTGAGTTCAATCTCTAGTATAGGGGGCGCTATAGCAAAAGATAAAGATTCACATTAAATAAGTAAGAAATAACTTACAGTTTCATGTTCATTTAAGTTGTTTTGCAGTCAAATGAGCTTTTAAACTACTATGGATTTAGAGTATAATTTAATATCTGATAGCCCACTTTATCCCTCAATAAAGTTTTCTTTTTTCCTACCAATATCTTCTTTTACATGAAATTTACACTCATTACCAAATTAACCCCATACCTTAGAAAATCCTTTTAGAGTTTTAATTGAAATTCTAAAAGAAAAAAATTAAAAACATAAGAACTAGGAAAAAATAAAACTGTTAATTAGAGATTATATGAGAAGTATTTCCAAAGAACACTTAAAAAAATAAGTTATTCATTATAATAAAGTAAGCTTAGTGGAATAGTCAGACTTAAGATTAAGTCAGTTATTCTGGATAACTGACTTTGCTACAGCAGGGACCAAACCAGTTTGACCAGCCTTCTTCCTAAATGTGAATCTGTCACATCAAGAAAGAACCTTGGTGATCCACAACTATAACAGATCTTTTTTTTTCCTTGACCTATATTCCGTGCTGCAAATAATTTTAAAGCAATGCCCTAAAATTCTGTCATTCTTCAGAGACAGCTTTTATCCAGCAAGGAAGGAGATGACAAAAAGAATCAAACTGAGTTTCTGCTTGAAAGAAACAGTTACTGATCAGTTAGTTGTTCTGTCTCAAATGCAGCTATCCCAATGAAATTCTAATTAAAAAGGATATCCTTTTCAGCTAAAAAGCCATGAATTAGATTTCAGCATAAATCCTTTCTTACTACACAAAAATCTCTGACCTGCAATGTAGTTTAAACTCATGAATTACCCCCCCGTTGGTACTAGGGCTCGAACTCGGGACCTTGTGCTTGCGAGGTAGGCATGGTGCCACTGAGCTAAATCCCCAGTCCAGCTAGTTTATACTCTTAATGCTAATCAGAATCACAGAAGAGAAGAGAGAAACAAGTATCTTGTAGAGTCTCCTTACTTTGAGTTTCTGGGCTTCTCCTCTCACTTTCAGCAGTTCAGTAATGGAGTCCACAAAGCCCTGGTAATGAAAGTTGCACATTTTCTCAATTTCTCGGTCATGATTACGGATGCGAGTTTCCAGCTTCTCCATGAATCGTCCATGTTCCTCACCATCATAGACAGACCTTTAAAAAAACAGCCATGAGGCCGGGGATTTAGCTCAGCGGTTCAGCGGCCTGCCTTGCAAGTACAAGGACCCAAGTTCAATCCCCAGTACCAAAAGAAAAAGAAAAAAAAGCCATGAAAATTACATCACATTTACTCTTAAGTGGAAATAGAAATACAAATCCAGAAGCAATTTTATTTGCAAATTAGATTTTGAGGGTGCATAAGCCACAGAGTAAACCAGTATCAAATTATTTTGAAATTAATGAGTACTTTTAAGGAAAATCAAAATTTTTGCTTTCTCATTCACTTAAAAATATTTGACAGTATTCATCACAGAATTCTCTTCATAAAATAAAAGGAGTGGGGCCAGGGATTTAGCTCAGTGGTTCCGTCACCTGCATTGCAAGCATAAGGTCCCGAGTTCGATCCCTAGTACCAAAAAAATAATTAAATAAAATTAAAAGAGTAAATTATAATGGCCTTGGCTCTGTCTTTCTTAATTTAACTTAATTTACTCAAGACAAACTCAATTTTAGTAATCCAACTATCCAGTTAGTCCATGACTATACCCAAAAGGCTAAAATTTGCTGAGAAAATTTCATAGTTGGGCTGGTTATACTCGGTATAGCTCTATAACTACAAATCTACATTAGACATTCAATACCACTAGAGAATTCTACTACAGGTTGAATAGCCCATACCCAAAATGCTTAAGAATGAGAAATGTCGGGCTGAGGATTTAGCTCAGTGGAGCTGCACCTGCCTCCCAAGCGCAAGGTCCTGAGTTCAATCCCTGGTACCAGAGGGGAAAAGAAATGAGAAATGTTCAAATTTTGAATGTTTTCACACTTTTGAATATTTTTAAATACATAATAAGATATCTTGGGAATGGGACCCAAATCTAAATGTGAATTTCATCAATGCTTCACGTACATCTTTTACACAAAGCCCAAAGGCAAGTTTATATAATATTTTTAGTACATCAGCATTGTGACTGCAACTTATCATGAAGTCAGGAATTTTCCACTTGTGACGTTTGTCATGTAGGCACTCAAAAAGTTTTGGATTTTGGAGCATTTCAAACACTGAATTTTTAGATTAGGGGTGCTCAATTTGTATCATTATTACCCCTCCCAAAAATCATACTTTGCATTCTCAAAAGTATCTAACCTTACTTTCCCCTCTCCTCAAATGTTTACTCCCCCACTCTCAGCTACTTAACCCTATTATATACCCCACAGAAAAAAGATATGTTAAAAATCTCTCTTCCCCATGAAAACCAACCAACCTACTAAGATGTGTACCTCCTACTCTGTCCAGCCTCCTATAACAATGGAAGAAGAGTTCCAAGCTCTGAGATACAGTTCTAGTTGTTTCAAGAACTTTCCTCCCATAAACATTCCCTTTTATCCCTCGCTCTGCATTACGTATTTCTCCTTCTCTACTAGATCATTCTCATATATATGTTAAAATGAGTTTTAAAAATATGTCTTTACACATACATCTCTTCCTCATTTCTTCTCATTGCTATCTCATTTCTCAGCTATCTCATTTCTCTGCTCCCCTAGTGGTGGTGGTAGGGGGAACTCCTTTCCATTTCCTTACCACCTCAATACTTTACTTGAGAAGAGGCATTTGTTGTATTTCACTTAACAGCAGCATTTGCTAGAGTTTGATAGTCTCACCCTTTCTAAACACTTTCTTGAGTAGATTTCAAAGACAGCGTACTAATGATTTTAACCTTTCTCTGACATCTTTTTGATATCCCTTCTCAGCTCCTCTTCCTCTATTTCACTTCGAAATATTCCTTAAAACCATTTCTTTTCTCTATCTGTACTCTCTCATCAAGCAATTAATTTCATGGCTTTAAAATATCATCTACTAGGTGGTAGTAATGACTTCCTAATCTATACTTACAATTTAATGCACTTTTCTGCATGCTAAACTCAAATCTCCAGCTACTACTTAACAAATCCAATTGGATTTTTAAAGCCATCTCAGATTTAACACAGAAAAAAAATCATTTATTACCAATCTATCTTCACTCTCAAATGCATTCCTCACCAAATATCTCAGCAAACTACCCACACCTAATGACACTATCTAGTTCCAAGCTAAATATCCAAGAATCACTTCCAATCTATTTCTTCCCATCCTACTCTCCATCTAAACCATTAATAAATCCTCACAACTCAACCTCTCACATGTATCTCTTAAAATTGACCATATCCCTCTTCTATTAAAATTAGCAGTTTTAGCAGGGCATGGTGGTGCGCACCTGTAATCCCAGCACTCGCGAGGCTGAGGCAAGAAGGATTGCTGTGAGTTCAAGACCAGCCTGAGCTACATAGTGAGTTCCAGGTCAGTCTCTACTACATCATGAGACCCTGTCTCAAAAAACGGAAAGAAAAAGTTTTTTCCTGCTAAACAAAGGACTGAAAAGTAGAGAAAGACTGCCATCTAGTGATGGCACATTGCCACAGTCCTTAAAACGTGAATACGATGAACTGAAGTAAAAGTGATTGTTAAAATATAAAAACTGTATTTTATAAAACCTGTTAGCCAAAGAGTTACTGCTAATTATTAAATTATATCACTTTAATATTTAACTTTCTATTTATTAAAAACAGGATCTTTCAAATGAAGTCATGTGTTTCTGACACATCCAAACGTAACAGTTAAACAAGAATAAATTGCACCACTGGTTTAGTTATTCGTGATAATTCCAGGAATATTTCAATATTTAATAAAAGTTGAACAACAAATGCTTCGAAATTAACAATAACTTTTTATAACCTAAATTTAAATAACCTAAATAAAGTGCTGGTGTATGTTTGAACCCGCCTCTCCCAAAAACCACAGGTTTTTACAAAAAGTAAAATTTTTAATCCTAGCATCCATATCTGACACATACTCTAAATATCATAAAATGGAACTATATCTTTCTTCCATCCAGATTTCATATGCCTATTAAGAAATCTTCACTTATGAAATGTACATGAGGGATTCAATTAAATAAATATTTATCATTCTATACTGAACTACCACAGGATTATAGAACCTACATCAGCTCAAATATGCACGTCAAAGGGGAAGGATATTATAAGTATTATGCTATTTCTTTTAAATCTTATGTACCTTATAAATTAGATATTACTATTTTACAAATGAAAAATCTGAAACCCAAGAAGATGAAGTAACTTGCCAATTCACACAGCTAGTAAGTATCCTCTCCAGTACATCGGTCTGTCCCCTATTACAGCAAGAAAAACATACACCTCCAACACATTAAGAGTTGAAAGAGATCTTAGAGTTGGAATACAAAGCTTTCATTATACAGCTGAGGAAATTGAGGGCAAAAAAAGTGAAAAGTCTTAATCAAAATTACATTGCTTATTACCAATACAGCTGGCTTGACTCCCAAAGAAAACACAATTAGAAAAAGCTAATGCAAGATGAAGCCTGACACAAAGGTAAACAGTTCAAAAGAGACAAACTTCTATTTCAAGATAAGACTGTTCCTCTTAGTTATGGCTACACAACAGCTATTGCCTCCTCCCTGTTAGAAGTATCCCAATTCATTCTGATACTTCACCTTCCTATTGTACTGTAAAAATTAAATAATTAGTGTATAAACAATTCCCCTTGTCAGTAACTAGTTAACATAAGAGCATGTGACACAACTCTCCCCAATGGGAAATAAAGGGAAACTCGTTGCCAAAGTTTCAAAAGAGTTTAGTGACTGAAGCACACAGGAAAAGACACTGCCTTTCCTACTTTGGACATGGTGCTCTGAAGGTATGGTTCTTAGGGATACAGCAAGTACCCTGAGAGGAGAAAAGATAATGCCAATAATCTGAGAACTGATAAGAGAAAAGGAAAAAATGGAGACAATGCAAATAATTTGAAGACAGCAAAGGGGGAAGATGAACACCAGGGTCCTAGATGGCAAAGCAATCCTGAGGAGTGTTATTACCAGATTTCATATTATATAAAAACAAACTTCCTATTGTTGAAGCTACTTCCCTAGGTATTCTACTAGCAAAAGATAGTATCCTAAGTGACGGAATATTGCTCACTCTTAAAAGGTAACCAACAAATCAAATAATTAACCAATACTTCTCAAGAATCCTGATCTTGGACCTAGACTGTTCTTTCCCCTTTTCATCTAGTTAAGACTGCTCCTACAGACCTTTGAAATCTGTTTGCACCTTATTTCTGGGAAAGCCCCTCTAAGTCACAGACTGTTATGTGCCCCTAAACTATATTCTGATTGCTCATTCATTTATTAATCTCCCTACACTAGAATGTTAATCTCTTCTTGGGCATAGAAGCTGTAATTTGTCCATTTTATCTCCAACTACTAGCACAAAGCCTTAGCCAGAGAGGACACAGGTGTCTGCTAAGAAAGAAAAGCAAGGGTAGAGAATCGAACAGGTGTGGATTTCCAATTGTTTCAAAAGTGTATGCAACAGAGTATCATAAGACAAAGAATATTTGCTGAGATGCTTTCAGAACCAGGGAGAACTTCAAGATGCAAAGGACTGAACATTTTGGGTTTTTGTTTTTTATTAATCCAGGAAAAAATTCCAGAGTTATTCTGGTCTTTCTCATATATATGTTTTTTAAATTGTCATGGTTTTAGTCCTCAAACATTTTCTTTTCATTAAGCTCCACAAAAGCATCACTTGTATTTTTGTTTACCCCAAAAGTTAAAAATAAAGTGGAAAAACAGATTTGAACACGATGTTGAAAGAAAAACTGCAGAAGGTCAAAAGGAGTTTAACGTCTCTTCTCCTTACTTCAGTAAGTCTGTCAATTTATTCCAGATATTAATATTATAATTTGGATGCTCTGTATTCATAAATATGAAGCAGACCACTGTGTATCATCATCAATGACAGAAGCATATACTAATTGATAAATTTTGAGCTGATCACCATACCCAAATGTATTTTGCACTACCACAGGAGATCAAACATGTTCAAGTTCTTTCTCCATCCTTGCAAATATGAAG